TCCCAGGCCTGGCAGGCAACCCGTGACTTCCCAGGCGGCTAGACACAGAACCAGTCCCGCCAGTTCAAAGAGCAGTTCTTCCCGGCCCACCCCCAGGCACTGTCTGAGCACCCCATTCTCAGGAATCCGAAGGGGAAGGCAAAGTAGAGGCTGGTGGGGTCCGTCCCCTGTTCCGAGGAGAGGAGCTTGGTCCTGCTTTCGAAAGTCCAGTATGAGGGGCATTTAACAGCCTCCTCTGCCTTCTCCCTTCCAGTCTGTGAGGGGAGGCTGAGTCGCCCCACCCTTCCGACTTCAGCAAGCCTTCCCCGTACCACCCCACCTTAGCCTGCAGGTCTAGGGCGGGGCACTTTCAGGCCAAGCTGGCTTCTGGACGCCCAAGGCACCCCTCCCTGTGGGCCTGGTCTGGGGCCTCCAGGTTGGGGACGGCGTGTCCTGCCCCTCTTGCAGACCCCGTTCTTTCACCTCCAGGCCCTCCCTCTTCCTGACAGGGAGGGGCAGGGCCCTGGAGCTACAGCTCCGGCCTCTGGAACATGCACTCCCACTGCCACAGGAGAGGCAGCTGAACCAGCATTATCCCTAGAAAAGTTAAGGGTACTGTCAGGGGCGAAACACAACCCTGCCAAACTGTCCTCACCGCACATCCAGGCGGAGTTCCCTGTGCCTGGCAGAGAATGGCACCGTGTCTGGTTGTCTGTGGTCTGTGTGTAGCTGTGCCTGGGCAAGGAGAAACACGGAGTGTGAGTGTGTGTGTCGGCCTGTTCTCCATTCCCTCCCAACCTCACTCACTCACTTGGTTCTAGAACTGGAGTCCCCCTCAGCCCTCCTTCCTCCCTTCGTTTACACAGCTCGGGGCCAGGCTCAGACCACCAAACCAGCTCCTCATGCGCGGGCAGGCCGTGCCCTGCCAAGAGACAGGCCTGGCTTTTCTGATTTCCCCTCGTGTTTCACAGCTCTCTTATCCCTTCAAAGGTCATTCGGGCAGGGGTGGGGAGATCTAAAGACCAATGGTCTGTGTGTGAAGACAGACCTCAAAGGCCTGGACCTGTGTCTCTTCCCCTGCCCGTATTTATGCCCCCACGCCTGCCCCAGGATTTTGGTTGAGGTCACACAGTTCAGTGTGACCCCACAGAAAACTGACCTGAGTCAGGGCTCCAAATGACCCTGCTCCCATCCTCTGTGATACATGGGGGGGGGGGGGGGGGGTGCAGGTCATGGCCCAAAAGGAGTAGACATTAGGCTAGGTTCTGGGTTGGCCATCTTTATTGGAGACCATAACTCCTACACTCCTCTTTCCATGCAGCTATTTCCCAGTCATTGGATGTTTAATCAATGACTGACATTGGCTGATAAATGGCAGTCGTGGAAAAGGCAGATCCCTCAGACAAGACGTGGATTTAAAAATCCTGGTTTTGCTATTTGTAACCGTGAGCAGGTGTCTGAGCCTGATGATTAAATAAGCATAGGCACACAGAGCAATTAATGTGGTGCCTGACATATAGCGAGTGCTCAGGAAGATGTTGGCTCCCGTTGAGATCACTGGTACCCACTCAGCACCAGGCCTCAGGCCCAGAGAGCAGATAGATTTTCCCTTACCCTCAAAGAATCTTCGTGGGTGGTAGTAGTGAGGGGAGGGGGAGACAAAAGAGCAAATAAAAGCTATTTTTGTGCAGTATGGTCACTGTGGCCATAGGAGGGAACAGATGAGGGGCCTCGAGTACAGGGGCCTGGCCACAGAGTACAGTTGTTCGGTGCATGCACTGCAAAAAGGCCCCCTGGTGAAGGAAGCTGCGGAGACCGAAAGACAGTTCATGACATGCAGCCAAAAGGGGTACCTGCCTCTGCCCCAAGGGGGGCAATTTGTTCTAATTTGCACGAATGCTAATGGCGGTTCTGGAGATATGGGCCAAACTGAGACCGGGAGCCAGCGGTTCCCAGTGGAGGTGACATGTTGTCGGTCTTCAGTGAGGAGTTCATGAGGTGAGCTTTCACGAAGGCCCTTCTGGGCAAAGGGAGCATGCGGAGCCAATGGGGACTTGAAGGGGGAGTTTTGGAGTGTCTGAGGGATCCACTAGTGTTGGTTAGCAGTGCCCAGGGAATGCAAGGAGGTATATAGGGTTGGCTAGGGGAGCTAGGCGAGGGGGGTTGCTGGGCTGAGCCCTCTGGGCTCTTAGGAATCACTACAAGGATGAGCAGCAGGTGAGCCCCAGGGCAGATCTGTATGTGAGTCTCACTAGGACAGCCAATCTCAGGGGCGAAGAGAACAACTTTGGTGCCAGTTTCACTTCAGTGTGCTCATCTGAAAAATGGGGATGGTACTACTGCTGGGGCTGATGTAAGGATTAAATGAGACAATACACCTTAGCTGTTTAGCACAATGTTCTTTCTGTCCAGGGTATTGGCTTCATAAATGCCAGCCATGGATATTATCACCAAGGTACAGGAGAGCTGGGTGCAGGGTGATGGAATGACATTCTACTACCTAGAAAACAGGCCCTTCTCTCCCCCAAAGATGCTGGACACTTAAAGGAACTTGCTTCCGGAATCTAAGCTGATTGACTGAATAACAATATGAAAACTTATTCGTCTTTGGAGGCAGGGAGAAAGGAGGGAAATAGTGAACCAGGGTGGCTTCACTTATGGAAAGGAACTGGGCTGGGGAGAGTCTCCCACGATGCCAGACCTCATACCCACTCATCTCTCTTATTATGGTAGAGACTCCTGTGGATGGTTTGCCCACGACATTTATTGTTCATGTTGCATTTTCCTTGTGGATAATTCTGCCCCTTCCCCTTCTGGTTCCTACCTGGGTTGGATAGGGGAGGGTCCAGTTCTTAATTTCCAGGAGCAGGGGCAGACTCCTAGATCCATCCTCTGACCTGGGCCGGGCGTACAACAAAACCCTTTTTCTGAGAAAGTCACCACTGGGATCACCTGACTCATCTCCACTGCAGCCTGCAGCCCCTTGGCTTTGCTCTTCTCAGTTGTGGGGCAGGAGTCTCCCCCCCAAAGTGGATAATTAATAGTGATTCCTTAAGGTGGAAGCTACTGTACACCCTCCCCCTGGAATGCCAGCATGAAGCTTCTTTCAGGTGTGCAGGCCTGACTCTGCACTGACCCTCAGCTTCAAGAGCTCTGCAGGATTGATTGAGCTTCATTTCTTGGGTCCTAGCCCTCTGAGGCCTTGCTGCTAACTCTTGGGGAACAGGTGCCTCCTCACAGTCTGTGCTTCAGCCTCCCCAGAAGAGGTAGATGGAGGTGGGTTAAGTGTTTAGAGATCTTGGAACATCTAGAACTGGGACCTTCCCTCCTTTTTCTTTATATAGTCAGTGCCAACAGGATACCCGACACTTAGTGTGGGGCACAGAATGACTCTTTAAGCAGTTCAAGGTGAAAAACTGTTCCCAGAGCGCGTAGCTTGCTTTCATTCACATAGTACGATGTTTGCTTAGGTTGACTTTGAGGAAAGGTACTGGAGAGGAGAGGAAAGGCTAAACACACCCCCTCGGGAGCCATTCCTTGAAAATGGTTAAGGGAGGACACTTCTCCAAATTTGTGGAAAGAAGGGAGGAGGTTTCCACGATGTCTGGGGAAGGGCCAATCCCTATCGCCTAGGTCTGGACCAGGTAGGGAGGCAACAAACATTCTAAGTGAGCTCTGCCCTTTACACTTCCTTCACTCCCCTACCCCCTGGCTAGGTCACAGTCCCACAGCCAAATTTAGAAGACTTGCCGGGTGGACAGGCGTCTGCTCCCCCAGAAACCCGCATGTCAAGGCCCTCCACTGTCTCCTTCTTAGAGATAGGCAGGCTGCACAGAGGAGAGGAGAGGAAGCAAGGAGGTGGGAGCTGGTTTCGCTTCTCCCATGGAGGCCAGGCAGGCCTGTGGCTGGAGGCAGCCCAGTGGCCACAGTTAACTCCCTGTTATCTGGGCCCCAGTTGATCTAGAGCTGCAACTGTTTAACTCTAGGCAGGCTTCCCCAACCGCTGTCCTCCCCCTTCCTCAGCCAGGGTCTAGGGCCTGGGATTGCTTCACCTGGCAGAAGGAACCCTAACCCACCCCCGTGAATTCCACAGAATTGCAGAAGCTTTCCACTTTGGGATAATCTGCAGTTTGGGGCTTATAGGAGCCTGGGGCTTACTCTGTGGGTCCCTGAGATGGCCAAAAAGTGCTCCTGCCATATCATTAGCCCAGGCTGGGCAGATGGAGGGGGCGATGAGAACGAGGAGGATATGACGGTGGGCCTAAAATCTGTACCCACTGGGCTTTTGTTATCTCTTTGAAACAGTGTCTGCTGAACGCCGCTTTAATTCAGGCACCATTTCAGGCTGGGACTTCTCGGGAGTTCGTGGGCCTGGGTCCCAGAGTAGCACAATTGAGTGCCATGGCCCCAGGACTCAGGGCTTGGGCTGGCGCCGGTGTAGGATGCAAAACGTCCTTTCTTGTATCAGTCTCTTCATCTGTGAAATGGGGACAGGAATCTCCGCCCCCTTTCTCCGGGAGAAGAGCCCACCCAGTCCGGGAAAGCTCTCTGGGTGGCGCGCTGTTTGAGCCGCGTCCAGCTCCGAGCCCTCAGCGAGGAGGTTCGGGACCTACAACCACCTGAGCCGCGGGGCGCGGCTGAACCCTCCCAATTGGTCCTGGCAGCTCTGCGGCCGGCAGGAGAGAGGGGGCAGAGGGACGGCGGATTTCAACGTACGGTGGGTGTCCAAGCGTGTTCACCCCTCACTAATGGAGGAGGTCCTCCTATTTTTTGTAAAGTTGTGGAAAAAGAGGTGAAGACGGGACGCGCCGGGGCGCTGAGCTTGGGTGGACGTCGTCAGAGCGCAGGGAGCTCCAGGCGCAGTGGCTGCGGCTCCGGCCTCAGAGCCTGCGGCGTCGAAGTGGCCAGAGCTGCGCTGGGAGGAGGGAGGAGGGAGGGGAGCCGAGCGGGGCGGGGGCGGGGGGGGTGAGGAGGGAGCGGCGAGTCCGGTCCGGGTTTTGCCGGCAGCCCCCGGGCAGCGTTCAGAGCTTCTGCCCGGGCGGGCGCGCGGCGGCGGCGGCTGAGGCGGCGGAGCCTGAGCGGGGATGTAGAGGCGGCGGCGGCACCGGCGGCAGCAGAGGCGGCGGCGGCGGCAGCGAGAGCAGGCGTCCGAGCTCAGCAAGAAGAGCGGCCGAACCTTGCCCCCCGAAGCCGGGCCCCGCGTCCCAGCCCTGCCCAGCCCGCGCCCAGCCATGCGCGCCGCCTGCTGAGTCCGGGCGCCTCACCCTGCGCCCTCCGCCCGCCGCGCCGCGCTCCGCTCTGGGGTGATTAGTTGCTTTTTGTTGTTTTTTAATTTGGGCCGCGGGGAGGGGGAGGAGGGGCAGGTGCTGCAGGCTCCCCCCCCCTCCCCGCCTCGGGCCAGCCGAGGCAGCTTGACTCCGGCTCCGGACCCGGGCTCAGCGGCCGGCGGAGCTGGAGCGGAGCGCACGGCGGCGGCGGTGCCTAGAGCGGAGCGCGGCTCACCGCCCCGCCCCTCCCCCTCGTCCCCGCGGCGGCGGCGGTGGCGGCTTGGACGACTCAGAGAGCCGGTAGGTGTCGGGCCACGGCCCTCCCCCGACCCCCCCGGAGGCCGGCCCCCTCCCCTTCCCCGCCTACCTCCCTCTCCTCCCCCGGGGCCCGGTGCGCGGCCGGGGCCGGAGTTCGCTGCAAGTCGGCGGAAAGTTTGGCGGCGCGGGCTCCCCCGAAGTTCAGGTGCGGAGAGCCAGGGACAGGGAAGGAAGGGTCCGCGTTTGGGAGGGGCGGGGGACGCCCGCAGCCTGAATCCCGGAGCCCCAGAGGCTGAGAGTCGTAGCGCCTGTGATCGTTTGGTGGCCGCCGCTGTACCCAAGCCTCCCGAGCCGCAGTCGGCGCGGTCGCAGATCACTGAGTTCAGACAAAAAGAGAGGTTTTAGGGTCGGGGACTGCGGGCTGGGCGTCGTGGATTGGGGCTGGGGCTCTCCCTGTGGGGTACTGTCCTCTCCCTAAACACTCGAGCTGGAGGGCGTTGGGGTGGCGGGAGCCCAGGTCCCTACCTCACCCGGTGGAGCGGGCGGAGCGCCTGCGGGGGCGGCTGATTGGAGGTCCCCGCGCGCACCCCCCCATCAGACCCCACTCGCAGCCCTGTGTTTTGAGGGCGACGGTAACCGCTCAGACCCTGGACCGCGCGTGGCTGAGTCGACCCCCTCCACTTGGAGCGGGCGGCGGCCACATTTTCCCCTCCGGCTCCTCTCCCCGGTTGCCTGCAGGGTGCCTGGCGGGCTGATCAAGTTTGACCTTTTTTTTCCGTCAAAGTATCACGCCCCCCCCCCCCAGCGCCCCGCGGCCTCTCCCTCCCTTCCTCTTCAGCATGAGGGGGGGTGTCTTTCAGGCTGTCTCCCGAGCCCCTCGTGGCCAAGCAGCTCGAAAAGCCACGGAGGGAGAATGGGGGTGCTCCTCTCTCTGCGGAGCTGTGGGAGGCGGGTGTCCCAGTCGCCCGGCTCGCGTTTCTGGCCCCACATTTACCCGTGAAGTTCGGCCCCGAGGCCCCCCTCCCCTTGTGTTCCCTAGAGCGAGGGGCTGAACCGCCGCGGGAAGAATGTGTTAATTTTCTTGCTGGGGGAAGTTGTCCTCTCCCGGAATGAGCTGCTTTCCGGCGGGGAGCGCGGGGTGCGCCTGGCTTTGTTTATTTGTAGGATCGACAGCAAGTGAGTGACCCCAGCTTTTAAATGGGGGGCCGCCTCCGGGACCTGTCAGAAGAGGTGAAGCGCCCAGTGGGAGAGCAAGACTGCGTTTTGGTTTTTCCTCTCAGAAATCGGAAGGGGTGCGCGGAGTTGGGCTGGTGCCATAGTCTTCAAGAAGGCACCAGCAGATTTGGGGAGGGCGGTTCAATAGACACTCATCTGGAAAGACCCACTCTCTCTTGTGTCCTGCGACGGGGGTCTGTAGGGTTGGCCGCCGCGCCCTACTTTGCCCCCGGACCCTGGGTGGTCTGAGTCGCGTTTTCAGATTGGGGGGGGCTGCAGGGGGCTCCGGAGAGCCAGCCTCCTGACCTACGTCCTTCTCTGCGCCGCGGGTTCTGTTCGGTTTTGTGGCTAGCCCACCCCCACCCCCGGCTTTTGCGCAGGAAGCGCTAGGGAGGGGGGCATGTGTGATGGTTCAGCCCTCGCCCCCGCCCGAGCTGCCCCAGGGCGGCCGGCAGAGTCCCTTTCAAGTTTTCCGCTGGGGCCGCCTGGCGGGGGCTGCGTGCGCGGTCGCTGCGGGCTTGTTTGGAGCGCTATTTGAACGCCCGGCGCCACCTCAGCTGCCCCGGCCCGCGGAGGCGGGGGGGGGGGTGTCCTCCGTGCCATTGAGAGCATTCAAATAAGACGTTTTTAGGGATGTGTTAGCCTCAACTTGCTTTGGCCCCCCTCTCGAAAGACCCCATACCTTAGGTTTCAACCGCCGTGGGAAACCCAGAAACTGGGACCCGAACGAAACCTCCTTCCAAACCCCTTTTTGAGAGCGCTGCGGAGAGACTGAGGCCGGCGTTACCTACTACTGCGTAGTGTTGATTTAGCAGTTTCCCTGGATGAGAGCAAGAGCTGGGGGTGGGGGGGCAGTGGCTCGCTCTGCAGCTGTCACCCCCCCCCTCCCAGAACGGAAATTGTTCTCTCTCCTTGGGGAGGAGGGAGAGGGGGTGATTTTTGCTCTGGGAAGGGGTGGGAACTACTGAGGGAGGCTGCTCTCTGGAGATCGATGTGGAAGCCCCCCCAGGCTCCCATCCTGGCAGAAGCTGAAGCTCTCCCAGGGAAGCCCCTAGCCAGCCTTGCACCTCCCTACCCCTGCCACCTCCTTTCCCAACGTTCCTCTGCAGAAGACAGACCCTTGGCTGGCTAGCTGGCTGGCTGGCTGGCTGTCCGTTGGCGCCTTATTTATGTGTGTGTATTTGGGCCCGGCTGTTTTCTCGGCTCAGCAGGTGACCCTGGCCCGGGCCTCCTATCTCTCCCCCGACAGAGCCTGTTGACTTATCCGTGGGCCAGCGGCCTCGTCTTTATCACGTGAGGCCTGGAATGTCCACCCGGCTGGGTTGGGCTGGGTTGGGTGGGGGAAGGGAAGGGGAGGGGAGGATTCTGCATCCAGGGCCCAGGCCAGTGCAAGCCTATGTTCTCTGGGCTCCCACTGTGACCCCCAGCTCTTGCTGCCTCTACCCAACTTTTTTGCTTGCCTCCTACCCATTTGGCAAGTGTTGAAACTGAGGCTCATAGGAGTGTGGGTATGGGGTGGGCAGGGTTGCATCTGGATAAAGAACCAAATCTTTAGGAATTAAATATCCCACCTTCTTGAGAACTCCACCTAATTATTTCCGGAGGGTGGAATGGAGATGGGGTTCTCCTTGGGAGAGAGGAGTGTGGGCTGGGCCGAGGTCAGCTGACTTTCCAGAGTGCAGAGTAGGTAGAATAATGGGGGGGACACTGATGAGCCAGACCCAGGCCTGCTTTCCTAGAGCCCCTGTCTGGAGGGCCTGATCATGAAGTCAGAACTTCCCGAGCATGGAGCTCCAGAGCATGCCTTAATTGGCCAAGAATGAGGTGGGGTTCACTTTTTATTACTGTTATTATTGCTGATCTTTATATGTAATTCACTTATTCATTGATCCAATGTGTGTTTATTGATCACCTACTGTGTGTCAAAGCCCCATCCTTCTAGGGGTGCAGAAATTAATCACTGACTCTGCCCCTACTCTGGAGGCAGGGCCAGGGTGGAAGCTCCACCCTCTTTCCCCACCTCCTGAGGCCCTGATTGGAGCTTTTCCATTTTTTTTTCTGGGCTCTCCCTCTCTTAGCCTCATCACCTGGTCTCATTCTAGCTCCTAGCGCTGTGTGTGTGTGTGTGTGTGTGTGTGTGTGTGTGTGTGTGTGCGCGCTACTTGATTAAGTGTATTAATAGTTAAACTCTCACTCATAGCTGGAACTCACCAGACCACAAAAAACCTCCCCAGTTACTCACGCGCTACTGCCCAACAAGAATATCCCACTCAAGTTTTTTTTTCTTTCTCTTGCTTCCCTCTTTATTCCCCCCAACTTTGAGCCCACCTCCCAGGCTGCAGACAGTGAGAAAGAACTGGCCCCCATTCCACCTGCCCCCTAAAGCCAAAGCCAGTGTGAGCTGCTAGATGAGGCTGTGTGGATCTAGTCCGTTGGCCTGGGGTGTGGGAATCTAGGCGCCGTGTGTGCCGATGACTAAGGACACGTATATCTGTGAATCTCTCTGTTGAATGTGTGTCTGTCTTGGGGTCTGGGAGTCTGAGCATAGGAATCTATGGGTCTAGGAATTGTTTGTGTGTGCACTGCATTTGTCCCTGTGAATGTGGGAATATGTATAATCTGAGTTATATATGCTGGGAATTTTGTAGAGTGTATGTTTGTGTTTTGTGTATATCTGTGTGTTTGTATAATACTTGTAAATCTGGGAGTGTCTGATGCTCTCAGAGTGGTGTATCTGAATAGGGAAAGTGTGAACCTGGGCATATCTGAGCTGTTGTGGGCATTGGTCTGTGCCTGTCTTTGGTGGCTGGTGTCTGTGTTCCTTTCTCTTTCTGTATCTCTGTCCAGCCTGTCTTTGAGTCCCTCCCTCCCTGGTTGGGACCCTGAGTATGATTGTGTGTAGCACTGAACCTCTTCTCACCCTGCCCCTCCCCTCCTCTCCCCTCCCCTCCCCTCCCTGGCAGTAACTGGGCAGCTTCCCCGTCTGCCTGCCTGCTGGGAGTTTTGGAAGCTGTGGAGGGAGACAGGCTGGGGCCGGGGTGACAGTGCGTATCCACGTCGATGGCAGCCTGTGATTACAGGAATAAAAGGATTTTAAGGTCATGGGTGGTTTTTTTTTTTGAGCCCCCTGCCTTTGGTGAAGCCAGTGGCAACAAAGGGCCAGAGCTTGGTGTCTGCTGGTTGGGAATCTATTCCCATGCAAGGGAACATGGATATGGGGGGGCTTCCTGGGAATTTGAACACATGTATGTACATGCATGAGTAGAGCCTGTGAGAGCATGTGTTTCCTATCTGCCTGTTTCCTGGGGGAGAATTCCCAGGAAAACTTCTTGCTTCTGGGTGTTAAATGGGTCTGGAGCCCTGCAGTTCTCTACGCATCTTCCCCAGCCCTCCCAGTAGGGTGTCACCTGGACCAGGCCACATCTAGGGGTGTCAGTGCCCCTGGCCCTGCTCCAGCCCCTGTAATTGCATTCTGCCGCCTAATCCCCCGCCAGCTCAATTAGATCGCAAATTCTTCTTCATTTCCTGCCTCTGATGCTGCCCTCCCTCTGGGCTTGAAGGGCCTAGAAGGGAGGGAGGGGATCCTGCCCTCCTTCCGCCAGCACTAGGGGCTCTTGGGGTGGTGGTGAGATTAGTTCCTGGCACATGGGCCCCGGGGGTGCAGGCTGGAACCTTGGCAGTCAACAGGACAGGGCTCTGCTGGCCCTTTTTGGACTAGCCTCAGTATCCCCATGTTTGGGGAGGGGACTTCTGTCTTCTGGTACACAGGCTCTGGGCAGAGGAGGCAGAACACTCTGGCCAGGCCCCTGGGCAGTGTCCTCACCCCCCGCCCCTGCATGTTCTGCCCATTTGGTGCTCCCAGGGCAGTTGCTGGCCAGCCCTTCGCACAGGGATTGTTACCTTGTTTTCGTCCTTTTCATGGTGTCCATTCGGGGGGCCAGTGGGATCACTCAGTGGGACCACTGAGCTCCCCTCTGCTGAGCCCTCCTATCCCCCTCCCTTGACCTCACCCAGACAAGTGTGTTGGAGCTCTGGCTCTGGAGTCAGACCTAGTCCCGAATCCTGATCGTATCGCTGTCTCGGTGGCTGTATGACCTTTTGTGTTCTGTGATCCTCAGATTCCTTATCCCTGGAATGGGATAACAGGAGTACTTGGTCCACAGGACCATTTACAGATGGACACGAGGCGGTTGTGCAGTACCCAGCACCAGTGGCTAACTTACAGTTGGCATTCAGTTAAAGTTGGCTTTTATAGTGAAGAGGACTTCCTCTCCCCCACTGAAAAGGAGGAAAAGGACACATGGCTCCCTCTTAGTGTTTCGGTCTCCGTTCTGCTAACCATCAGGTGTGTGACCTTGGGCACGTCACCCTGCCTTCCCTGAGTTTCTCTTCCCCAACTCTAAAATGGGACTGATACTAGGCCTGATTTCACAGAGGCTTGGGAGGGTTGTCTGCGTGCAGATGCTTGGCCCCAGCTGCCCCAGCAGGTTTTCAGCGTATTACTTGCTTGCTTCTACCTTCTCTCACATCACGCCTGGGCGGGTGGGGCTGGTGCAGACACAGGCTCAAGGATGAGGGGACTGACCAAGGTCATGAGGCTGGTAATGGGACCTGGGTGGGGTGGGAGGGCTAAGGGGTGACCTGCTGGCTCGCTACCTGGTTTTCTAGCTGGTTTGCTTGCTGGCTCAAAGCTGAGCTTTGAGGCATGGCCTTCCCTCCTCGCTGGTCTCTGTGGAAAGTGGTGGCTTGGTTGATTTTTTTCCGTAAAGTAGAAGCTGGAAGTCTACCCCCTCCTCCCCCAGGAGGCACTGTGGCAGGCAGCGGCTGTGCTGACAGGTCTTTTGGCCTTCTTGCTAGGATGGCTGGCAGCTCTGGAAGGCCGGCTGCACACAGACCAGCGAGAGGGAAGAGGGAACCGCCGCGGTCCCCTGCCATCGCTAATCCCCGTGGCCCCTCCCACCCTCAGCCTGTCCTCTCTGCGGGTAGAAAGACTGAAAGGAGCCACAGCAGGACGAAAGCTGGGGAGACTGGCTCTGCTGGTGGTGGTGGAAAGGGACAGGCGGTGGGGGGGGGGGCCAGTGGGGGGGGGCGTATCTCACACGCTAGTCCCCTTATTTCTATGACCTCTGTCACTCATTGGCCTAGGCTCTTTAATATTTCATGGCCCTTGGAGTCAGCCCCCTGCCCCAGCTCACAGGCCCCCTTTGTCTGCCTGCTGCTGAATTGCTGAATTACTGACCCGAGGCTGCCTCTGCCTTCCCCCAGCTGGCCCTGACACCTTCCCTGTCCCTCCTGACCTGCCTCCCTGACACCTCTGGTTGTCACACCCTCCATCTCCCACACTCATCCTCTCCCCTTCTCTCACATCTCTGACCATTTCTGTGCCCTTTTTCTCCATTTTTCTCTTTTGTTGGCCTCCTCCTCTCGGCAGAACAGAAACCTCAGCAACTGGTCCGCTTGCCTGCCTCACCCCTCCTGGGTCCACCCCTTCCTGCCCCCTCCCCCCCAGCCATGCTGGCCGTGAGAGCTGGTTTTATTTATTTTTCTGTTTGTTTGGGAAGAGGGCAGTGGCAGTTTTGGGCCCTGGCTGCTGTGTTCTGCCTAGAGCAGCGGGCAGGCCGGCTGCGCTGGCCTCCCAGGAATGTGGCCGGGACGCCCCGCGCTATATTTACTCCCCTCCAGCTGCCGGCCCCAGCAGGGCAAAGCCAGGCCTGCCTGGTGGCCCCGGGGGGAGCCTCATACCCACCCTCCCCAGTCTAGCAGACCCCACATGGCCCTCGGGCCCACTGTGCCCTCCCTTCTCTGTGACCTC